TAACGCATACAATTGCCAACATTGCAGCCCCAGACAGACCGATCAGATGTAAATAGCTCAGACTTCCACAGGACTACGTGTTTTGATCAGGAACAAAATGTTTGGATACCTTTTAAGGCTAGATTACTGAACCCAGCATCTCTGTGCGTTCATAAATTTTCTATGCACAAGAAATCTTTCCAATGACTGCCAGGAGTGTTGACTCCAACCCTGATAGTTTTGACCGCAAAACAAATATCCCCTGCTATTGGATTTTATCTGCGTCCAGATGAGAGAAGAAAAACACTAGATGGGAGAGTAGATTAAATGAGAGAGAAGGCAGACTGCTCGTAATTCCTACCTCTTGTAAAAGAGGCAAGAGCTCCTACCATGTTAATAAAACTTCATAAATATTTTACTAATATAAAATGGAATGGAATGCATTCATGCCAGGAGACAGGGAAGTGCCGTGAGCTCCCAGATAGCTCCTCTTTTTGCAATTTCGTGCAATTTGCAAGCTGGCACCCAGAATCATAAGCCCAGAACTACTGAGATCTCCGGGCTGGTCAAGACAAAGGCACCTCACAAATGTCCACCAGTGTGAATTTTAGAGCTGGTCAGACTGCAAATATCTGCACAGGATCTAAATGTCCCCTGAAAGCAAACTTCAGTCCTGAAATGCTTTTACATTTAAGTGGTAAATTGTTATAGAAAACTAAGTATGGGACTGCAGATAGTCTCAAAGATTTACTCAGACATGGGTTCCCCCAAGTTCAGCACAACGCAGACATAATTTGTGAGAAAGGACTCTTAAGAAACAAGGGAGAAATTTTAATGCTAACAGTTTCTCAGATTTCAAAAGCCATTTTAGTTTTGCTAATCATTTTTGACGGGGAAAAATTGCTTCAGCCTACTACAACTCAGCTTAAGAACAGGGAAAAAGAAAACGAATGATAAAGTTTCAGATACGGCTTGGGTGGCCAGCAGCAGCAGAACTTGAGGAAAATCAGCATGAAAGTGACAGCTGAGCTGTGTTGATGCAGAGCATTACCGAGAGGCTGGTGTTACAGCTCCAGACTTCAGAGTGATATAAATACGAAGGGGCCCACAGATAACAGTCTTTCAGGATTCAAGGCTTCAATAGAAACATCATCACTGCCTTCAGCCTGTTTTGGATGTGTCCCAGAAGTCAGCTATTCCCCAGCCAGAGTCTAGATTCAGTGTGACAAAATCCCACTTTTCAGAAAACTGTGTTGTAAGATCTTTAAATCAGAACTAGGCAATTGCTCAGAAGATGCTGGGAAGGACTCAGCCTTGGAAAAGAAAAAACTACCAACCAAACAAGTCACACGTTACCAAGGACAACAATAAAAGAAACCTAAGGACGGCTTCCATTGCTTTTAAAAATACTTATTTGTAATAGTGCACACTAAGGATACAATATTAATATTAAATCAATCATGATTGTTTACATTTCTTTTGCTGAAGCAGTAGTTGGTGTTGTGATGGGTTTTTTTCCACTAGGATAGAAAAAATTGACCAACACATAACCAATTACTAAGTTCCCAAACTCAATTTACCTTTCATTCCAAAAACCAGGGATTTCAAAATGTCTTTAAGGGGGAAAAAAAAAAAAAAAGAAAAGAAATAAAAGGAAGCCTTCAACCCGAATTCTTTTATTGTTGTTTATAACAATAAACAACAGATTTCATGTAAAAGCAACACCGAGAGGGTAGAAAAAAATGTTCTAAAGCTAATTTTAGTCCTGCTGATCTCAGGAGCTTAGTGTTCCTGTCAGACTGAACAGACTCCAGTGGTGCCCAGCCTGCCTGCCTGGCTGGAGAAATCTGTCCCTGGAGGTCTATTTACAGCACCTTGTACCCTATACCTAGATTGGTTTTTAGGTTTTTTTGTTTTGTTTTGTTACACTGGAGCACGTATCCACGACTGCGTTGATCCAAGACACAGATGTGACCTACTCAAGTAAATTACCAGAAAAAAAAAAATAATCAAAATTGTTCACACTTCATTTTCTGCAAATTAGTCCCTCAGGACTTCAGCAGCTAGCCAAAATCCAGTCCCAAAAGTTATTTCTATTAAAAGGAGAAATTGATGACAGAATCAGGCATACCTTTGATACAAACCTGTCTGCTTACATACAACACAGCATCCTTTTACCTGCAACAAGGTAAGAACAAGCAATGAGATCTTTCTCCTTAATGGTTCTCATCCAAATTCAGCCAGTACTGTATCCAGTCCCTCCATGAGCTCCTTCTACATTTTCTCCTTAGAGACACCTTCCTACTGCTACCTCTGGCTGTTTCTCCCTATTCAGCACCATTTTCTGTGGCTTTTTTCACTGATTCATGTGTCATATAAAGGCAACTCCACCAATCACTACCTCAATGCCTTGTGTTTGCTTTATGAGTTCCCAGGGAAATCCCTTTGGTCACACAGTTAAGTTTTTAATGTATATCTCACCATGTAATTCCGGGTTGCTTGCAACCTTGTTATTTCAGCTACCTTGTTCCATAATGACTTTAACCACTTTTTAAACACTTACTTTTCCCATCAGCTTCACTGAATTTGACTCAGTTCATAATCGTATCCCCTCACATCTACCCAGTTTTCCATCAAACCAAAATAGCCACACCCCAACCCCTTTCAGCCCAGAAAGACAAACGCTTCAACTAAACTACTAGTTATGCTGTAGACGGTGGCTGTCAAGGTACTTTCATATTTCAGCTCCCTCAAAAAAGTCTGTTTTCAGCCACGTCTCTTTGTGATTTTTCTACTGTTCATATGAAACCCGCCTACCTAAAGGGAGCTGTGATTCCTCATGCTCCCCATCAAGAGCAGATATCCTCTGCTGGATGGAAATGAAGAATGTATTTCCCAAACATTTATCACCTAGACAGGAGAACAGAACTCATGCAGGCACCCTAATCTCCTGCAGGGTAAAATCCACCAAACTAGCCCAAACTACCTTTAATTAGAAACAGCAAGAATTACAAACAGAACTATGCAGCAGTAAAACACTCCTGCTGTTAGACTGCCTTTGCTAGCAGGATGACAGCCGCTAACTGAGAAGGCATAGCGACTGATAGGTAGTCATGTCTCAAACAGCAACTTCATGTTCAGGCTTCAGTTGCATTCACCACTCGCTGCTGCCAAGAGAGGTAGCCTGCTCCCCCCATGCCTCCCCCAGTTCCTCCCCTGTGGGACATGTGCTACTGCCAAGCCCTTGCTCCAGCACACATTTGAGTGCAGCACAAAGCCAATTCAACTCACTAAAACAGCAGAAAGTAAATTGGTTTCAGCTGGAAAGCAAGCTGAATTGTCTTACTCCATGATCAAGCGAGCACGAGGGTTAGCGCAAGGCAGAGAGAAATGAACCGTACAGCTGAAACCAGGAACCGAAGAAGATGTCTAAGCCAGGTGGGAATAGTACACAGCAAAAGAAGCTGTTAACACAGCTCAACTGGAGCAGGGAATCACAGTCCTACCGCGCTCCAGCAAGTTACAAAACGCATGTCTTAAGTGTTCAGTGTCTGTAGTTATCTCCTCATTTCAGTAACAGCAGTTCCTCTGGTACCCGTGTGTTACTTCAAGGGGATTGCAGGTCTAGCCTTAGCAGAGGACTGCACTAACAGTTGTCTATCTTAAGCCCAAACTCGAAAAGCACTGGTACCCAACGTGTGCTGCTGGCTAAGCCATGGGAAGGAAAGTGATTTTCTGGTCCCAGCTTTTGTGCAGGGGACCTTAGGAAAGCTTCCCAAGGCCCAAGATTAGCCGGGCACAGATTGCCTTGGTGTGCGGGGCTGCGCAATGAACGAGCTGGTCGCTGCAGTGCAGGTTCCTGGGTCTGCCCCAGGCTCTCTGCAAAAACAGATATATCCCCACCAGAAAGCACCCTGAGGGGACTGGCGCAGTGTTCCTCCATGAGAACAGCAGGGGCTGGCAGCAAGGAGGCAAAGCCTCTGGAGAGCCCACGCGGGGAAGGCTTAACCAGACTGCAGGCGTCCCAACAGGCAGTGACCTAAAAGGCAGCTTCACACCAGAGCAGAGTTTAGTTGCTCACCTGCCCTCTGGCATGGTGCAACCCATTCCCACCCATGTCCTCATGTCCTCCTTGGGACGGGACAAGTCTCCCCCATTTTCTTTCGCCCTCCAACCTCCATGTGTCTCCTACCTCTCACCCCGAGCACAGCCAGCCAATGAAGTTGGCTTTAAAAAAAAAAAAAAAAGCCAACTGGTGGGACCTTTGAATTTTAACTTTATTAACCTTCAAGTTCGACACCCTCTCAGGGCCTCCCCTCTTACCAGATTCTCCCTCTGCACCGTGGCCCACGGGGACCCCATTTTATTAAATTAAACAACAGCCCGGGTTGCCCCACGCTCCCACACACCAGCTCAGCCCCACGGCCGGGCCGGGCCGGTCGGGAGGCAGCACCCTTCCTTCCCC